AACTATAGAGATAGCTCAGGATAACCTGAGCCACTCATAACAGAATCTTTGTTAACATTTATACTGTAGATCATCAACTGTGTTCTGAGCAGTTTATAACAGACTAATGGTGCATAAAGCACAGAGCTTTTAAAAGTGACTATTCTTATGTATATATTGATATAATGTTACCATGGAGGCGCTCCAAGACAGAGGCCAAGAACAGCTCCCCGTTAAAATTTCACTGAATATGCCGCTTAAAACGACACAAATAAGACTTCAAACCCACATCTATGTTCGACAACGCCTGTTGAAGCTACGCTCTAAAAATGTTTCAAATCCAGACATTTTTGACCGTTCAAAAAGCTGTGGAGTGCTACGGACGGATCTCAACAACACAACAGCGGAACATAACTCCCGGAGGAAAAGATGTGCGAGACGGAGAAAGCAAGGATGCAGAGTGGGGCTAACTGTGAAGCTAAAGAGAAATCCCCACAGACCTCCACTTCCATCAATCCTGCTCTCCAACATCTGCTAGTTGGATAAAAAAATGGATAATCTCCGACAGGAACTGTCATCAAAGAAGGAGATTAGTAACTGCTGCGCTATCATTCTGATGGAGTCATGGCTGCATCCAGCAATGCTATTAGCTTTGAGGGGCTAACGCTATACTGCGCCGATAGGAATAAAGAGCTAAGCGGTAAGATTCGGGGTGGTGGGCTCTGTGTTTACATCAACAACAGATGGTGTATAAATGCTAGATCAGTCTCCAGCTTCTGCTCTCCAGACATGGAGTTTCTGACGGTTAACTGCAGGCCGTTCTATCTGCCCAGAGAGTTCAGTGTGGTTAGCATCACTGCTGTTTATGTGCCCCCCAGCGCTAACACTAAAGACGCCATGAAGACTCTATACCAGGCTATCTCTGAGCTCCAATCTGCACACAGATGGTGTTTTCATCATTGTTGGGGATTTTAACCAGGCTAACTTCTCCCTCATTTCTACCAACATGTGGACTTTGCAACTCAGGGTGAAAACACTTTAGACCTGGTTTACTCTAACATCAAAGATGCATTAAGAGCAGCCCTCCCAGCCCCACCTCGGGTCATCAAATCACCTGTCTGTCATGCTTATCCCTGCATATAAGCCCCAGCTGATCAGGGCTAAACCGACAGTTAAAGAGGTCAGAGTGTGGTCTGAGGGCACCATGGAAAGACTCTGGGACTGTTTTGAATGCTCTGACTGGAACAACTTCAAGTCTGCGGCAACATATGATAACTTATTACATATTGATGAGTATGCCATGACTGTGTCAGCCTACATCAACAAATGCATTGAGGACGTCAGCATCAAAAATAACATCACCAGCCGGGCCAACCAACCACCCTGGATAAATGGAGAGGTTTGGAAATCGCTAGAAGCACCAAACTCAGCTTTCAAGATAAAGAGGCACTGAGAACAGCGCGTGCCGACTTAAATCCTGCCATCAGATCAGCGAAGCAGAACCACAGCCAGGAGATCCAGGATCTTTTTCACGATGACAGCAAAACAAGGAGGATGAGGAAAGGCATTCTGATGATCACGGACTACAACACACCCTCCCCCCCG